AGAAACGGTCTCCCATGCAGACCCGGCTATTAGAGGGAGCGCCGCCCGGAACGATTGCTCAGGACCCTCATTTTTTTCATTTTTATAATTGAAGTCCCTATTTTTATCTTTATAATTAGGTCTTTATATTTTTTGAATCTTATATTTTACTTTTATAATTGATGTCCTAATATTATACAATCTTACTTTTTATTTTTATAATTGAAGTCTCTATTTTTTCAATCCCTTTTTGTACCTTTATAATTGAGCCCCTAATTTTATAATCTCACTTTTTTACTTTATAATTGAGGCTTTTAAGTTTTTTCAATCTTACTTTCTACATTTTCAATTGAGGCACCTAAGTTTTTTAATCCAACTTTTTTAACTTTATAATTGATACCCTTAAGTTTTTTAATCTCACTTTCTAACTTTCTAATTGAGGCCCCTAAGTTTTTTCGATCTTAATTATACCTTTATAATTGAGACCTCTTGTAACATCCCAAAATCAGAGATAATGACTAAAATGTAAGTTTTGAAACTTTGAGGTATGATTTCAAAAAATTGATAAGTTTAGGGACTTAACTAGAGAATTTTGATGTTGGATTTAATAGTAAAGTGTGAAAGTAATAAGGGTATTATGGTCTTTTCTAAGAGAAGATTTTTATTTTCTCTTTTTAAGGGATATAAACAAGTGGATAATGGAAGAAAGGAAAAAAGAGAAGTCTGCAACATTGTTATCTTCTTCCTCGTTGCTGAAGAGCTCTAGTTTTAAAGGTGAGTTGGGTATAACTGTTTATTTCTTGAATCTTTAAGTTGGTTCTTGTTCTTTGAGTGTTATATAAGCTTAAGGAAAACTTATATAAGATTAAAACAACAAGACAAGAGAATTAGAAAAGAAATTGTAATAAGGGTGTAGAAGTGAATTATTGATATAATATAGTTTTTGAAGTTTTGTTGATGAATTTGACTTGTCATAAGATGGATTAAGAAGTCTAAAGTATTAGAAATGGATTTAGAACACCTTGAAAGTTTAGTAAGATTATTAGTTTCAAGAGTTATAGTGAGATATTGAAGATAATGAGGTGTTATAGTGCTAAAAGATGGTTTAAGTATCTATAGTTGATTTTAAAGGCATAAAAAAGCTAAATAAGGAAAGTTTGGGTAAAATATTGATAATTTCGGGTTAAAAGTATATTATGGGTTAGCAGTATCGATATTGGTTGAGTGAGTACTGATACTACAAGGCAAAATAGATGATAATTATGCGTAGGGTATTGATACTGCATGAACAATATCGATACCATAAGGCAAAAGTGGGATAAATATTCATGGGGTATCGATATTGAAGTGGTAGTATCAGTACCATGGGTATTGATACCAATTGGGAGGTATCGGTACCATTTCTTGCATTGTTCAGAATTCAAAATGGGTATCGATACCGTGGGATGGTATCGATACTACAAATATAGAGGTATCGGTATTGTGCTTGTAGTACCGATGCTACCTAAGTTGGAATTAAGGAATCAATGATTTGTTTATTTTATATTAGTAAGAATCTTTTCGAGTAATTCGAATCTCGATATTTATTGGATTGTACATTTGTGTAGATAAAGATAGAGAGCAAAGTCCAGACAAGTTGACCAAGTAATAGTCATCGAGAAAGAGATAAGAGATAAGTATTGACTAGTGAGACCAGGTGAGTGCATAATATTAACTATATGATAATTAATGGAAATAAGACTTGTGATAAGTCTATTTTCCATATTAGAGTATATGCATATGAGTGTATGTGTCATATGTTATTGCATGAGTTACATGTTATACTATGTATGTTAAATGAGTTATGTGAAGTGTGATATAATTGAATTATGTGATGTCATGAACCTGGAATATAAGCTATGTGGTATAGATATAAATGATTATATAAACATGAAAACTAAGCCATTTGATATGACCTATGTGATTGTATGAGAAAGGCTATGAATTATATGTGAACATGTGAATACATGTCTATGAGATAAGCCATATGACTATGAGCTATGTGATAAAAAGTTATGTGATTACATGATCACAAGATATAAGCTATGTGACATGAATTATATGATAAGAAACTATGAGATTATATGCCTATGTGATATGATTGTGTAAATATGTGACGAACATAAATGATAATGCTCATGTTATGTGATATAAGAGCTAGGGGTATAGTTGGCATAACAAGAGTCGAGGGTTATACGTGGTCCTTCGGGATATATATGTAATCCTTTGGAACATATATACGGTTCTTTGAGACACATATTTGGTCCTTTGGAATATATATGTGATCCTTAAGGAGTGGTCCTTCGGGACATATATGTGGTCCTTCGGGACATTTCTACGTTGTCCTTCGGGACAAATTCTATTTGCCCCTAGTGGGAATTTATACGAGGTGTGGTGACAACATATGTGCACAACCTCAATGTACTCATATATCTTTAGTTCTCAGAAGTATACATGGGGCTAATAAAAGAGATAATCTGAAGAAACCTTGTGTGATGTTATGTGTTTAGCTTTGTGAGACATATGATATGATGTGCATAAATGTTAAGAATAAGATCACATGATTAAAGGAATGAATGAAAATAATATTGATAATAATAAGAATGTGAATGATGATAATGATATTATGTATGTATGCAATAGTCATATGAAATGTTATATGATTTTGCATGTTATTAGTGTGTGGATTGTTAGTGCATTGTTAAATAATTAAAGTTTTCCTGTATTCATTTTATATGCCTCACTAAGTCATAGACTTAGCGTGTAAATGTTTCATATGTAGGTTTCGAGAAGATTAAGGAGCAAATAGGAGCAAGACAAGTTAGTCTCTGCTTTCCAAAGATTATATCAGAAAAGAGTTTTGAATCATATGTATTTTGGTATATTAAATGTAGTTGGCAGTACTAAGAGATAACAATTGAATATGCTCTGATATGTTTTGTAAATCCAATTGTTTTTAATTAATGTAAATTATTCGGCTTTGATTTTAAATGGGAATTTGAAATTCTTTATTTACTTTGTAAAAGCATATGTTTTGAAAAGTCAATGTGATACATCGGATTCGTATCCGGGTCGGGTATGGGTATGGGGGTGTTACACCCCTAATTTTTTAATCCCACTTTTTTAACTTTAAAATTGAGGTCCTTGCAATTTTTTAATCTCACTTTCTAACTTTTTAATTGAGGCTCATAAGTTTTTCGATCTCAATGACACTTTTATAATTGAGGCTTCTATTTTTTTAATATCGATTTCTACCTTTATAATTAAGGCCTCTAATTTTTTTCAATTTCATAAAATTCTCAATTTCTCATCTTTTTTCCATCTTTCTCGTTAATTCATTTAATTTTGAATTAAATCTAATCATATTTGTCTCTCTTTTTTACCGATCTTATTTTTCAATTTACCAAATGTTCTTTAACTCTTAGTCTTCTCCAATTTCAATCTAAAGATAACATAATATGTTATTCTTTATTTTTTAATTTATTATTCAGAATCAAACTCCATATCATAATTTATACTCACATTAAATTTTTTTATTCTCTTAATCGTATTTAAGGTGTTTTCTTAATAAAACAATGAAACTAATGTTCGAAAAAGTTTAGTAATTTTTCTACGATATTGAATTAATTGTTTAAAGTAATGAAATATATTTTCCTTCAATTAAGGATTCATGGCCTATTTTTTTTTATTTTCGCTCAGGGCACCAAAATATTTGAGACGGCTCTGCTCCCGTTGAGGGATTACTCGTTGGTTTCTCCAATCCTGATAAAGGCTGGTTTCACGAGCGCGTCGATTACAGGACTTTTTCTCTTTTGGTGCATGGCTAGAGAACATGATGCTCGACTTAACTGCTAATCGCTTCATTCAACTTTTGATTTTACTTTGGCAGCTATGGCATCGTTGGAATTTATATTTTCATGAAGGTCAGCTTTTACCAAGATGTCATTTGATCGCTTCGGCTAATGCACTACAATCAACATTCTCATTGGCAATGACTACATCATCTTCATCGTTACCCGGGTTGTACTCAAGTTTGTCTGTTCAACGATGGCAGAAACCTTCGGCCAGTACATTCAAAATTAATGTGGATGGGGCTTGTCCTCGTTCACCGGCTTCTACGGTTATAGGCGTCATCATCCGGGACAGTGACAGATTAGTCTGGTCGGGTCAAGCTCTACCAGTTTCTACGACTCGTACAGCAGGTATCATTGAAGCAATGGCGCTTACTCGAGGAATTCGGCTAGCGGTTGAATTGGCGCTTTCATCGGTTGAGGTAGAATGCGACTCCATGAACGTTGTGCATCAACTTTAGAACGCAGATACTGACCATTCTGTGCTTCGGTTCCACCTTCTTGAAGCAAGACAATTGCTAACATCTCAACTCTTTTTATCAGACGGGAAACCAACGGGACAGCACATGCACTTGCAAATTATGCAACAACATCAGCATCGCCACTTTATTTTACTACTGTAATCCCAAACTGGGTCTATTCCATTGTATCTGCTGATTCTATGTTTTCTTAATGAACGTGGGCTAATTTTAAAAAAAAAAAAACTACCTTTAAACTCAACAATTTAACATTCAATTCAGATAACCACTAATTTTTTAATAGAAAATAGAGAGTTTAAAATATATTAAATAGTGAGTGGCTATTTTATAATTTTTAATAGTTGAAAGACTCAACAAAACAATACTATATAATCAGATGATCATTTTATAAGGATCATTTGTATATTTTACTCTAAATTTAAATATAATTAAAAATGAAAATGTTTGTTAGTTTCTAAAATAGTAAAACATATTTCTAAATTTATGGAATCAAACTCGACCTTTAAACTCGTATATATTTATAGCGTCTTCAAATTCCATACTTGATCGGGAAAACTTAATCCAACCCGGAGTTGTCGACAGCTATACAAACACACCGGAGTTGTCGACATTTTGATAATCAAATTAAAATTAAGAACGTGAAAAAAAATTATTTTTAGTTATTTTTTAATCGTTGGTTTTTAAGATATGTCGTCGGAGATCGAGGTGGTGGAAGAGGTTCAGCCATTTAAACAATCGGGTGCCGTCGTGACGAATGAAATTGTATATGGGCAAGCGTATAATGGGGTTGTTGGTAATCATAATTATTACGAGAGCTTGAGGTCCGATATATATAGCGCTGCTGCTTATGGGGATTTGGAGAAGCTTCAGAGGCTGGTTGAGCACGAGGGTTGCTCTGTTTCAGTGCCTGATGCCCTTGGTTACTATGCTCTCCAGTGGGCCACTTTGAATAATAGAACCGCCGTTGCCCACTATATCATCGAGGTTTGTCTCTTCTTTTGTGATTGTTTGATGGATTTTCTGGATTGGCATTCTTTGCTAGAGTTGGAAGCTTTTCGTTTTGAATATTTGGGTGTAATGGGATTTGGTATCTGATATATATAATGTTTTTCCTTGAGTAGGTTTATTGAATTACTTTATTATGGGGATGCTGAACTGGATTTTGGGAATGCGAATTGAAAATAAATGCTATTGACGTGTTGGGTTTGAAGTTTTGATTTGGATTGAATTCAATTAAACTGAGTAGTTTCCGGGTTGTCTTGATTTGCTAGCATGGTGGAGATGTTAATGCCAAAGATTACAGCGGGCAGACGGCCTTGCATTGGAGTGCAGTACGAGGTGCAACACAAGTTGCTGAGATTTTACTCCGAGAGGGTGCTCGGGTGGATGCTGCAGACATCTATGGCTATCGGGTTAGTTTTTCTTCGATGTGGTTGAGTTTAATGCCGATGTAACTACTTTTTCTAACATGTGAAACATGAAATGTGGGGCTATCAGATTTTGAGACTCAGAGCATATTGAGCAACGACATGTGTTTTCTGCATCAAATGGGTTTCAACTTCTTAGTTTAATGCTGAAAAATATTCTTATACATTTTTGTTTGACAATATAATCATGGCTGTATTTCTTGATTTTCTTTCAACCTCCAGGTGCAAGCATTCTTATTTTTTATTTTTATTTTATTTTTGTAATTTTCTGCAGATAACACATGTTGCTACACAATATGGCCAAACTGCTTTTCTCTATTACGTTGTTTCGAAATGGAATGCTGGCCCTGATTTTCCTGATAATGAGGGAAGGAGCCCTTTGCACTGGTACATGTGGAGTTCTACATTCACCTTATACTTATTCACTTGAAATTTTGTTTTTGGTACTGAAAATTTGTTTGATGCACTTGCTGGTAAGTAAGACTGCTTTGAGTTGGTGAGTTACTGATTTTGTGATGCCTTGTGATGATGGTAATAACTAATAAGCTCCTGCGTAGTCTTGACTTTGTGAATCTGAAGTTACAATCAGAATTTAACCTACTTGTGTAATTTTTATTGTTGCTGTTTTCGTTCTGTAAGTGTCATTTTTTTCGTTTGTGTTATTTTGCCAAGTTTAACAAGTTCGCATGCACATTTTGATTACTTCATTTGTTTACCTAGAATTGGTTGATTGTACTAATGAAGTTTACAAGTGCTAGCTTTATTATTTTTATTCTCACTTCCTTTCAATATGGGCAACACTAGGGCTGCTTATAAAGGTTTTGTTGACTGCTTACGTCTTCTTTTATTTCTCGATGCACATAGAGGACGTCAAGACAAAGAGTGTAATTTTCTAAATCTCAGGTTGAAAGTGCCATTTCTAGGGAATTTCCTCTGGATAATCTATAGCCTAAACATTTTGTACATGCGGAATGTAAGATTGCATGCAAAATTTGCTTAGTTAACCATGATTTAACTTTATATCAGGTTGCACTCCTCTTCATTGGGCAGCTATTAAGGGTAACCTAGAAGGTTGCCTTAAACCTGCACAGCTTGCTTCTGAAAAGAATCACAGAAAAGTTGCATTTTTACTTGTAGGTTCAATACCATTTTAACCTGGCTATTGATTATTCTTTGATAAATGATCGTTATGTATTTTATTTTATTTTATTTTTTATTTTCGTTCTTACACAGTTTATGCTCTTTGTTGTTGGTGTTGACTCATGAGTGCCGGGGGCTGAATGAAAGGCATATCTTGCTTCGTCTTCTGCCCACATAGAGATTGAAGGGGTTTAATTACTGATAAGAACACCAAAAAGAAAGGGGGAGGGGGGGAATCCCAATCATTACATAAAGGAGAAAATTGTAGTCTCTGTCCATTTTAATTTGTTGGGAGCAGCTTGGAATGATGATGCCATACGCATATACATACTCAAAATGTTCTTCCCCTTGTTTATGCTGCAACCAGGTTTATGGAGCTGGGATTTCTCAAATAACAATTATTTTTATTGTTGGATAGCTTAATATTTACCTTCCCTTGTATAGACTTATAATGATCGCACATTTGAAAATTTTGTGCCTTCACTATGAGAACTATTTAGAGGCAATTATAATTGATTTTGACTGGTCTTGTTAATTGTCTCATAATAATCTGTAAAAATTCCCTATAGGTGGCTTAATTATTATCCTACATGTTCTCTTTTAATTGTGAAGATTATATGCTTATGAAATCAACTGAGCTATGCCCCAAACTATTTGTGTTTCTTAAACACCCAACTCTGCAGGGAAATGCTAGAAGGTTACACGAAAATCGCCATGATGGGGACCTATATTCAACCTGTCATAATGGGTGTGTCTCTCGATCTCTTCAGGACTATGTTGCTCCAACTCTTCTTCTTTATGTACCCTTTCTGACATATATTCAGACATGGTTATGGGTATTTGACCCTCCAAATAAATGGAAAATGAAAATGATCATTCTGTATTCGTACCTGAGTTTGAGTAACATATCTTCATGAGAGTTAATTGTTCTATACCATCAAGACTGTACCTGTCTCTCTTCAATACCTATTTATTTATAGGTGTAGCAGGTATATTCTTTGACGTGGACTTATTTTTTATTTTCTTTTAAAGGTCTTTTAGGTTATTATGACGCTGAATAAAGCTTTTCGGAGAGTTTCAGAGCTGGAAACGGAAACAATTGTTTTTGGAATCATTTTATGGCTGCAGTCAAAATGACTGATATATGTCTTATGGTACCTTTTAGTGTATGTGTTTTCTTCATGGACCTATTTTTCAAGTATTAGCAATCATATTCTTGGTGTTTTCCCATGCTTCTTTATGTCGGAAGAGTGGGGAGGGGTATGGGGTCGTTTACTTTGCCATGGGTAGTTGTCGCAGGAGTCAACATGTTGACTTGTATTCCAAGATTTACAAGGCCAGTACCAACGGATCAAAAAGATAATATGGGAAAAATCATAAGTGAGGTGCATTTTTGTCATTACTTTTTTTTTCTATGCAGCAAGGATCCCGATTTCATCAAGAGGAATGTCCATGACAATCAAGACATGAAAGATGATGTGCGTCCAGCTTTCCTTATTAAGCCTAACTGGTTTTTGTTTGATGTTAATCTTTTACCTTTCTGAAATTTGATTTTGTTTCTTCAAATCTTGTACATACCGTGTTTTAAATGATTAATACAGTTTATCACCATCGAACATTTTTTCTTTATTTCTGCTAGGAACCTTTACTGAAGATTGAGGTAAATAATCCAGCTTTGCTAGCTGGAAATTGGTCTCAGCTTTGTGCAACATGCAAGGTGCTTGCCAATTCTAGCATTTATTGCCTATATGTTATTCATTCGATAATTTCACTTTCTCTGTTTTGTTATTTTATTATATAGTCAGATTGTCAGGCCTCTTCGTGCCAAAAACTGCTCCATTTGTGATCGTTGTGTTGAACAATTTGACCATCATTGCCCTTGGGTAGCAAATTGTGTTGGCAAGGTGCTTTGTTTCCTCTGTTATTATTTTAATACTTTCTTTTGTTACATGTTTAACGTCCTGTACTCCAATTATACAATCAAATTAAGGGCTTGAATGCTCTTATACGTTGACTTTTATCTTCAAAGACATAGAAAATGTGGGTGAATTGCGATTGGGTGTTGGTTACAATTATGCTCATAGGTCGAATTTCCCATGAGGAAAGTGAATAGTATTTAATTATGATGAAGTCATTGTATCTGTTAATTAATTTCTTTTGGTACCTCGTGATGCAGAAAAACAAATGGGAATTTTTTGTTTTCATTGTTTTTGAAGTTTCAGCGATGTCGATTACTGGTGTAGTTGCTATGACAAGTATGCCTTCTATTCAAATTCCAAGTTCAAACTAGTTTCCAAGGTTAGCATAGTCATCTTTTTCCTCCTTGAATGTCCCACGAATGTTTCCTTTGACATACAGGAATCTTGACGGATCCAATGGCTTCATCCGCCTTTTCACCATTGCTGAACCATGCTCGTACTCGTCGTATTGGTGCATTATCATTTTTTATTGCGGATATTCTCCTCTTATTTATGGTGATCTCTAACTGTCTGTTTCTTGTAGGAATTACTTTATGTTGTTCCGACCTTGGCCTCAATTGAAAAATAGTGTGTGCTTCTTGATGTTTTTTTAGATTAGTCCGACGCTCACACTGCTGAGTTTTGGAGAGTAAATTTCTCATCGTAAACCACCATAAATCTTAATCAAACTGTAACAGGAGTTTATTAGAGATTATGGATTGAGCGAATGTCTCCGTACCTGCATCGGAAGTTTTGAGGTATGGATTAAAATGATCATGTGCCCTTTCCATCCCGATATGCATAATCAAGGCATTGTTTACCCCCAAGGGTTGAAATCTCAAGCCAACCTTCTGTCACATCATTTTTCTCCCAACATAATAGGGATTTCTGTCAGTATGCATGCTTACGCCGTTTCTTGTTTTGTTATTCCGACTATTCTTCTTTAAGTATTTATGGCCAACACGTGTCGGACATATATCTGGACATGGTAGGGGATGAAAGCATAGAGAAACTTGGAAAAAAATTAACGTACATAGGTCCAACATCTGATGTGGTACTTACTGTTTAGGTTGTAGAATATTTTGCATATCTAACTCCCTTCTGTTGAACGTGAATAATTGCTACAGATATCTCGGAATATAACAACGAGCGAAATGGCATATATCATGCGCTATAGTTACCTCAGGGGTGCTGATGGTCAGTTTAGAAATCCCTATGATCATGGATGTCGGAAAAACTGCTCCGATTTCCTGATCAACAGCTACCATGAAGACGTGCCAATTACTGAAGATTCAGTAGATTCCAAAGGAACTGGGTTGGTACAAATGTCAATGGAACCAAACTTGCAAAATGCTGATTCGCATGCTCTGGCGAACGGAAACGCCCATGTAGCTATACATGTTAATTCTAGCAACACCAATGCACATCATGGCCATGTTCATTCTTCGCACTGCAGCCATTAACAATAGCAAAGCGGAAAGCTGAGAACGAGCCTTTGGTATCAGATCTTGGTTGTGGATAGAGTAGCATTCATACTGTCGCAACTTTGCGATATTCACATCCAGATAAGTTCAAACTGATGTGCATCGGATTAAAAGCTTACATACATCCGGTTTGAGATTTTTTTGATCTATCAGTCACTCATCCTTTCTGTTTTCAGTTTATGGGTGCTGCATTTTTCCGACTTTTCGCATTTTCTCAATGGTTTTTCAGTCTGGGTGTTTGAAAGTAATCCATTTGGGGTAGATGTGAAGTATGGAACGATGTAAATAGTCTCATTGATAGTTTATTATTGTAATGATAATTATTTTTTTGATGAGATATTTTGATTAGTTTGAATGATTGATAAAGTGGAGGCGAAAGCTGAACAACAAATCAACAATCCTCAATCAATTATTCCAACAAACACTCGAATCAATCCAATACAAGAACATCTTTCTTCTAAATTTCTTAATAAGAAATAACTAAGATAAATAACAAATTGATCAATTTAAAGCAAATATCAAATCTATAAAATTATTACAAATAATGGATTCACTGTGTATGCATATTTTCTGCTTCTTTGAGGAAGGAAGCTGATGAAGGCTAAAGCAGAAACCGACTAGCAAAAATGAAATCCCTGCTGCTGCTGATGCTTCGTGTTGTCCCCGAATTTTGCATGGATAGTTTTGAACCTATTTCTTGAAAAAGGGAATCAATCAAACACCTTTAAGAACTGTAACAGTCTCTCCTTTGACTCTGAAAGTTCAAGGCTGATGCTTGATCTGAATGAAAATTGAAAGAAAAACCTGCAGGCGAGAAGACCCGAAGTTATTTCTGGCAATGAATGCTTAAAACGAATCGCATACGGTTTTCTCATAACTTGTTAATGGAGGTGAACAAACATGTAATTGAAAGTGACAGACCAATAAAAGTGCATGTGATGATTTCGGCATGCAGAAAACACATGAAGAAAATATTCATATTTTTCAGAGGTGAATTGTATCAAAATGTTCTATGGCATGATTGTGGTTTATTCTGAAGAATCAATCAGTTTACCTAAAAGAATCAGGACTATATATCTCACTTCAAGTAATATTATCCACGTGTTTTCCCGGAAACCCCACACAAAACAACATGCAGCTCATGCAAGCTCCAATGCATGATAAATTTTTGAAACTCGCCGTTGAAGTCATGGCTCTAGTCGGAATGATGAAAACTTGCTCTCCCATTTTTTAGCTTCATACATCTCATTCCATGCCTGTATTATCTCGTCAATCTTAAACCCTAAACCTGCAACGACAAAAAGATGAGTCATGCTTCTATGGTATATACAGATGTTAGATGCTGATGCAAAATTATGAATTTCAAGCAGTAAGTTACCTTCCACTGCATTGTTATTTGAACAATGGTTCTTTACCACAACAGCTATATCCGTAGGAGAAGCCCCAGCATGTTCGAATTTCTCAACAGCCACTTCCAAACATTCTTGCCAGACTGGTAGCCCTAGTTTGAATTCCATGATTGAACGTTCGTAAAGTATGGTGCCCCATAAAATGTTTATTTGAGCACACATGTTGACAGCCTGCTCAGCAGCCTCATCTGCTGATATATCTTTGAATAAACCATCCAATCCGATTTTCTGCATCTGGTTCTGTTCTTTCTTCGGTTTGGAAAACTCACGCAGGCATTGCACTTGTAACTCCTCCCACAGAAGCATGCCCTTTTCCATATTTTCCTCAGCATTGTTATAAAGTTGCAGAACTTTCTCAGAAGGCCAAGTTTCTAGATCAACATTGCTACCAATTGCATAATACCAAGAAAGTTTTGCCTGCTCAAACTGTTGTTGCCCTATAGCTAAATGAGCTTCATCGAAATCGGGTTTTGGTTCTCAGGGCTTCCTCATACCTCCTTCCTGCTTTGGTATATTCTAATTGTGCCCAATCATAGGTAGTTTTGATCTGCTGGAATACAGATTCTCTCGAGCCATCGTCCGTGGTGTACACCCTCTTCCTTGCCCTGGACATATGAACATTTCCCCAGTTGAACAATGCCAATGCCGTCAGCTCTTGAAATTTCTCAGCCGCCCTGCTGAAAAGGTCCTGGGCCTCTTCACTTGTAATTGTGTCCTCCATGGCCTCCAAATATTCCTTCATACCGAGTTCATGAAGATTCAAGTATGCATCTGAATCAAACCCAACATAGTTCTTAAACAGTTGGGCAAACTCGAGTATCCATTCCTCTATGCAACATGAATCTTTTCTTGCTTCCGTAACTGTTTTGGCATCCCCATTTTCAACTGCCTTACCTTGTTTTACGTCGAGATTGTGAACATCCTCACACTTGAATCTCTCAAAGAATGGATCCTGCTCAGAATTGACTACTACAACGTACAGCCTCGGGGAACCCCGGGATACTGCTGATATTTCGGCCAATCTCAGTTCTTCATCACTGGTGATTGTGACTAAATCGCCTTCTTCATCTCTGTATTTGATAAGAACTGCTTTCGAGCTAGGAAACCGATCATTAATAACTTCCCATAGTTGCAGAAGGCTGCAATTAAGTGTCAACCGAGTGCACCTTATATCTTCTCCGAAAATCAACTTCAAAGTCTTCTTTGGTTCTTCTTCCATTTTATTGCTGATTACCTCCTCTACAACCAGTTTATCCTCAGCCTTCTTTTCATCTGTGCTTTTGTCAACCTTCTTCTCCTGAACCTGGTCCACAGCGTTTTTTTCTTCAACTTTATAGAACTTCTTCTTGTTCTTCTTCCTGGCTTTCTCTTTGACAACTTTCAAAGCTTGCGAAGCATTTAAGTGTTCAACATCTTCTGGAGGCAATTCAATCACAGTGTCGTGCGCCCGTAACCCTTTTTTCTCAAGTGGATTTCATACTCTTTCTGAAATCTCTATTGCCAAGAAATTATTGGGCTCCATGTTGAGAACCGTACTAACATCTCTGAAAGCTAATTCGAACCGATTCAAAGCCTCGTAACACCTCGCCCTCTTCAGGAGGGCCTTGCTATTCTTAGGCATCACCTCTAAAGCCAAATTACATTGGTGGATTGCCCTGGGGTACTCGCTCAATCCCATCTGCATATAACATGCAGCCATATTGCTCCGAAGATGGCATACATCAACGTGATTCTTCGGAAGCATATTGAGGGCCTTTTCGAATTTCAACATTGCTCCTTCATGATCCCTCCTCTGAAACAGTTTGTTCCCTTCTTCCTTCAGTTCTTGAGACATGGAAACGAAAATCGCCATGTCCGAATTATGAGATTTTAAATTGATATCTCCGACTTTGCTATGCTTCACATTACTATCAACTACTTTTCCTGTTTGCTTCTTGTTCTTTACACTATTCTTCCCCATTGCAAATCGAACAATTTCTCAATTTTTTTTTTAAAAAAAAGCCCTAAACCCTTTATCTAATTACGAAGAAAAAATCATTACCCCCTTGAACTAAAGCCACACGATCTCCAGAAAATGAAAATTGGATTTTCCCTTAGATCACCCGGAAAATGAGAAAAAAATATTTATCCCCTCCAAACCCGGAATTCTCACTCCTTGAACAAAGAAATAAAAAATCCCAATTCAGAGAGAAACAAAACAATCCCAAAATCCTTAACTTCAGCTAAAAAGAAAAAACCATGATGAGGAAGAAAAGGATAAATTCAAGGCAGAGGAGATGGACTTATCTGGTAAATGAACTGAACGAGGTATGGAAATTTTCCGGGAAAACTCAAACAGAGAAAACTTTTCAATCAGAGAATCCCTTGGAGCCGAAAGAAAAACAGATCAACCAACCTTTCTCTGTTTTGTTTTGTATTAGGGGAATGCTCATTAATAATTTAATCTTGTTTTTATTTTAAAATTTCAGGAAAAATACAATGGAACCTTTTTCACTTTTTGTTTTGGGTAAAGTACACCATAGAATCAATCATTTTGGTCACTGAATTTTTTTTAAAATCATAAAATGATTATTAAATTTATCAAATAATTATAAAATAATCATTAAATTTATTAAATTATTGCAAAATAGTCATTAAATTTATCAAGTTGTTATAAAATGATCGTTAAACTCATCAAATATTTTACAAGTATTACAACATTAAAGTGATCATTTTGTAATCGTTTGAAAAACTAAATCATTGTTATGTGATTTTTAAAAGTTTAGTTATTAAAATAATAATTTGATCAAAATTTACGGACCTATATTATATTTTAACCTTTTTTTCACTGGGATTCCCAGGTTTATTGGTACGTCCAACGCAGACTCATAATAAAACCCATTTTTATACTTATTAATTGCTTTGAACTTTCAAAGTAATTAATTAATAGTTTAATAGTTTTCTTTCTCTCAGTACACATATCATGATTATCACTTTTTTAATATAAAACCAATGATTAAATACTTAAAGCTGATATTAGAAGATAACATCATCATATCGGTAAATATTTTGGAGCCAATCATGTTTAAAAATAAGTATTTGACTGAATCGAGTTAAAATTTTATATTTTTTATTAACGAGACTTGTTTTGTGATTTAAATTTTAATTAAAACTTTTTTTGAGTTGAAATAAAAAAATTTAAGTTAATCATATTAACTAGTATTTTTTATTATTTAAATTTGATATATGAAACTTTGAATCATGTCATTTATTTATTTTATTTTGACATAAATTAATCGAAAAGAAAGGAAAGCGCTTGCTTAACTTGAAAGGAAGGAACCATTTTAATTAATTTGAGGGTTGTTTATTTATTATTGAAAATTCTTATAAATCTTATTTACTAAAATTAAATCAAAATAAGATTGGATATCATTAATGGTGCGTTTGGTTCACGGAATGTAAGATTACCAGTGAGAATGTAAAATTACCAGGAAATAAGATTACTGAGAATGTTATAATTTGTGTTTGGTTGGTTTAGCAGGAATGTAAGATTACCGTGTTTGATTAAAAGAATAAAAGATTATTGGAATGTATATTTGACTAAATTGTCCTTATTATATATTTATTTTTTAACAAGTTGGAAAATATTTATATATTTTCTTTAAAAAATTTAAATTCATAAAATTTATATATATTTTTTACAAAATTGAAAATATAAAAAAGTTTAATGAAATGGTAAAATTTTATTTTAACCTCTGAACTTCGTATAAAATTTTAATTATAGATTTTTAAAAAAATATATAAAATAGTTTAAGGATAAATTTGTAATTTAACCTTCGTATAATTTTTATTATTTAATGACAGAAGAATGATATTTTTGAAAGAAAAAAAATTTAAGGACATTTTAGTCCAAAATGCCGGTAATATACCCAAAAAAATATACTATTAATAATAAAATATTACCGAGAATGAGATTCTCAACTAATCAAACATGAGAATATAAATTTCATTCTCATAAAAATCCTACATTTCTTAAACCCAAAAACCCCTAAACACAAAAAAAAAATAGAGAAGTACTACTGTCTCTATAGGAAATGTCTTCCCACAAAAGAGAGAGTGGGCCCGCACCTTCCATGTAACGATCACGCCAAGTGGTGGGTCCCAAAATAACTGCCAATCACAGTAAAATAATTAAGGTTAAATTATGTATTTAGCACTTAAACTATCAGTTTTGATCCGTTTTAGTACTTACTTTCATTTTTTGAAACCATACCTAACGTTTAGTTTTTGTTTCATCTTAATACTTTGTCGTTAAAAACTTAACGGACGGACTAACAAGACATAGCTCCTGTGGACAAATGACCAATCCAAATAATGGATCGCGAGCCATACCTAACGTTTAGTTTTTGTTTCATCTTAATACTTTGTCGTTAAAAACTTAACGGACGGACTAACAAGACATAGCTCCTGTGGACAAATGACCAATCCAAATAATGGATCGCGAGAGAACGACGAGTCCACCAACATGGTTCAGTTTTAGGCCTATCGGAAGGCTGACAACGGAGACCATATGATGAAAAGTCAAAGAATCCATTTTCGATTTGGGGAGATTGAGGCATTTTTCAATGAAACGGAGGTTGTAATCATGTTCAGGAGGTTGAAAAGGTGCGAACTAGAAAGTTTGGGCTTCATTGACCGACGGATGTGACAGCAGACAATTGCAGACGTGACGACGGTCGATGAGTCCATCCATTAAGTTTTTAACGTCGGGTACTTAAATAAAATAAAATCTAATAATTAGATATGATTTTGAAACTTTTAAAAGTTTAGATAATAAAATGGACCAAAACTAATAGTTTAGGTACTAAATGTGTAATTTATCCTAAAATAATTAAAAGGAAAACCCATAACCATTACTTGGTGATTGCAATGCGTAATGTTGGTAATTGCAATGCAAAGCCAAGACGGCTAGCTATCCTTTGTTCTAAGTATATATATTTTTTATTAAACTAAAGTGATTACAAAGTAATATCTGTTTTAATATAAGTATATTAAATGCAAGACTACTAGTTATCAAATTTGGTATGTTTAGTATTAAACTTTCATTTTTTTAAATTATATTCAAAGTTTAACTTTTGTTTTAGTACCCGTTCAAAATTTAAAGTTAAGTTTTGAAAAAAAATTGAAAGTTAAAGGTAGTAAAACGGACTGAAACTGATAGTTTAGGTGCTAAAAGCGTTAAATTTTTAACGTTGAGTACTAAAATGAAACAAAAACTAAAAGATAAATATGGTTTTGAAAAGATTAAAAGTTTATATATTAAAATAGACTAAAATTAATATTTTAGGTACTAAATATATAATTACCCAAAATGTAATTGATGTGTTTGAACCCACATCGCTCACCATATATTTAAAAAAAAAACAAATCAGATATAGGAATGGTAAAGAAAACGCTTAACAATTATATACTTGCCTTCCCAACTCAGATCGGATCGAAGCTTTTTCAGCCTTTTTTGTTTGCTTTTGGTTTTGGTGTCTTAAGATTAACGTGTCATCTTGTCTGGAAAAAACAAGTTGTAAGAAAAGATACCCTTCAAAAAACGTGACTTTCACTATTCAACCCCACCTCCCCCCGCTCCTTCCACCGTCCAAAATCTTATGGCCTCTGTTTCCACTTCTTAACCTACACGGGTAGTCACTAAATTTTTAGGGTATTTTTCATTTTGGTTATTAAATTCTTAAAACATACATTATAGTCATTAATTTTTATTCATTTTTATTACTGTCATTAAAGTTTCCTTTTTCAAAAAGCCTTAGTCGGTCAATCTCAAAGGTGAAAATGCATTTGGTTGCTCAAAAATTAAGTTTTAGTTTTGGTTCCAAGTGTTGAGCAGCAATGACAGGAAACAGGTACAGTCCATGGTGACGAGAGATTTTATGGTTTTGGAATTTGATCCAACCAAATGATGGTGCTAACAGTAACACTAGACATCCTTGTCCTTGGGCAGCCGACGTGGGATGTTTTTCTCCTGATTAGATATTATGGTGAAGTGGGCACTGAATTGTTGGGTTGCATAATCTATTTGATCTAAGAAGTAATATAAAGTTGGCTGTTTTTACTAATTTTATTCTTGACGTGTTCTTATCACTTTGGAATGGCTTGGAATCGAAGATCTAGTTCATACAGAGCGTTAAGGATAATTATATTAGTTAAATAACCATTGCAGGTGGTTGTATATGACGAGGAGGCCACTACTGCCTTCAACCAGAATCTCTCTGACATTGAAAGATCCTGGCTCAAGCCATGCTTCTCAAAGGTGTGACTTCAGTATGCCTTGAAATGATTATATTGAATAAAAATAAGAAAAATGCGAAAAGAAAAAGGACTAATAATCATACCTACAGGTATCATGCTCATCAATATTCGAATGGAACTTCATGTGATCTTACTAATCAACCCCGAGAAACTGAGGTACGAAGCAATGAAGTAGAGAAATCATTAACGGTTTTTGGTTTTGCTGTGGGAGGGAAGAAGGACCATTGTTTTTGTGTTTAGATTCATCACTTCTCTAAAGGTGTCTCTCATAGAGACCAGACTGTTCTGCTTATTACAAGCAATGCAAGCTAAGCAGTGTACTGTGATCACCCATAGAGAGCAGACCGGTCTTCTCATTACATGATACTTAGCAGAATACTATGATTTCAGGTCGGAAAATGCATGGAAACATTATTTCAAGCAAGCAAACAAACTTATAGGGTTTTGATTTAACTCTTAAAGTACTTGTTAACCCGACCAGAGCCGAGACTGAAGATATTTAACCACATCTTTATCCAACTGGAAGGCCTTGGCCAGAACATCTGGATTGATCGCCGGGTTTGAGCCGAAGACTGCCTTATCAACGGTGATAACCCCAGCATTTTGGCTGCTGAGACCAACAAATGCAACGGCCTCCGTTTTCCCTATGTTGAACTGGAAATGAATCAAACCAGTGGGGAAAATGAAAACATCTTCGGGGTTTAGGATTTTATTGAAGAGAAGAGACGGTTGTCGGGGTTCGATGTGACAAACAATCGGCCATGTACCCTCAAATAAGACTTGGTGATGCCCAGTTTCATACAAGTTTACATCTTGTCATTGTTAATTTCTTAATAAAGAATACCTGGACTTTTTTTTTTCAGGTGGTGACTTTTGTTTTGGTTATTTCAATGAAGGAAATAAATGTTCATATACTTCTGTACTATTTTTGGTGCAAATGCTCCACTGAGTCTTATGTCGAACTCAATCAATTGACACTAAATAACATGATTCATGAAGCAAAATTGTAATAAATTACGTCGTTTAATCCTCGATATCTTAAATAACTGAATGTTAATATCAGGCTTACCCTATACACAGAGAAACCAAAGTTGATGCTTCCAATGTTCATTGAACTAACCAGCAGATTAACATTGCTCAAGAAAAAACCAGTTTTCTTGCATAAACTGATCAAGCAAAAGACAAACAAGAGCAATGACACTACGCAGATAAAAAATAACAGTTCACTTCTGGTTTAGCCAGAGAGTCGTAACCGGTGATAGATTGACAATTTTGTTAAGGCCTAAGAGAATCGGAGAAGAACGGGAATCGAAGAAATAGAAATAGAGATTAAGAGAAGAAAGTTTAGAGAAGAGAGATTGAAGAAGAGAACAATTTCATTCAATTTTCGGATGATTTCTCTCCTGGTTCAGCACACGTTTTATTTACTTACAATGTGCTATGACCAATATCACCTTGACAGCTGGACAATGGCATAGCAACTTATCCTCCTTTGACAACTGAGCCATCTTCTGCTGGTCTGTTAATAAAGCTTGGGCCTGCTTCTTTAATTTCCTCATAACCCATTTGTAGCTCTTGTGACTTCTCCCCTTTTCTCTTAATTCTGTCCCAAAATCTGAAAACCCTAATTTATCGTTCTCTTTTCTCAAAATCCCTAATCCCCTTTTTCTCCTTTCCACTTCCCTTGCTTCGATCCTAATTTTTTCGCTCTGACCTTCTCCTCCGTTTGTGACACATTGATCAGTGTTGAAATGCTCTGTCTATAAGAAGAGGCAAAGCATCAAAGAGTTAAGATGATGGTGATTCCATTGAGGTCGCACCTTATCTCCCGGTCATGCTCAAGAGGTTGTACAGAGACCTGCTAGCGTGATTCAATCATGAGATTATAATGCTATTCGTAGGCTTGGCTGACTAAGTAGATATGATCAAGTGACTTGGTTTTGGCAAGTCACATTAGCCTGTCAAGAGTCATATCGATAAGTCTTTGAAATCCTTCTTCCTCCGTGTTCCGAGAATGCCATTTCAAGCTTGTTCTCCATAAATTTTCACATCCCAAGGAGATAAAACAAATTTAGTTTGCTAGGGCAGGAAAGATTATGCTTTAATGATGAGGGGTCACATTCGAATTGCAGAACAATTCAGAGTCGGAGTCAGAACAATTTATGTTCATTTCAGTTAACCATTCGAATTAATAGACAGAAATGACAAAAGAACGAAAATAAGACACATTTCTTTCATCAATATATGCTGATCTACATCCACATTTAAGCTATAATCAATCACATAAATAAAGGTTCATCAAGAAAAATATAATCTCAATATTGTAAACATAAAAGTAACGGAAATCACTTGCCGAGGAATCAAGCCTCTCGCAAAAGCGTTCCACTGCTTCAGCATTGAACCAGTTCTTTTTCATCACAATGTAAAATGGACAATTAGTACTTATAATCCACATTTGAAAAAATATGCTTCATAAATAAAACGAGAATCGTACAAAGATTTCATAGATGCTGATCTACACTCACATCAAAGCTAATCGATCACATAAAAAAATGTCATTTCTAAAGATAATGAAAATCACATGCCGGAGAATCGAGCCTCTCGCAAAAGCGTTCCACTTCTTCAGCACTGAACCAGTCCTTTTTCATCTGCAAAGTAAAATAGGCAATTAGTACCTCATCATCATACTTATAATCCACAATCGAAAAAATACACTTTTAAAACTAAACGAGAAATGTACAAAGTAAGGGTAGCCTTCAATGCTAAAGTTCTCTGGGGCGCTTTTGACAAATGACTTAATGAAATAGAGAACAAAGTTTCCACATTCTTTACCATTTCTTTGTTGTGGCACCTGAAAAGATCAAGGGTCAAACAGAGATATAACAGACTATCAAACAATATCAACATTTTGTACTGTAATCACCTTAGGGACCAAAAGAGGAATTTGATAAATTGTATGTTTATTCTCAGGCCTGCCTTCAGCTTTATAAATGTTGAACACGAACCTGCTAGCAAGAAATTCATATTGAATATTAGAAACTGTGGCAATTTTACTCGGCTAGTAACGCGAGTTATGCAAATGAGTAAATATACTTTCTTATCTCCGGTTCGAGACGCATTGGGTCCGACATCTGTAGTGAGTCCAGCAACAGCATACATGGTGTTCTGGTTTTAGATTGCAAACTTTCACCAAAATGGCACAAGATTAAGAGGCTCCAATGATCCCTAAAGAAATACAGTTTCAAATGATGAAGTCACATTTACTGACAATCGAACAAGGAGTTTGACAACCATGATAGAGAGAATACTAACCAGCAAACTATAGGAACAAGAACATATTTCTTCGAAAATATCTGCTTCTTCTTAATCCATGATAGAACCTTTTCTCGATAAGACGCTTTCCTATACCATGCAAACCATTGACAATCTAAGTACATAAACAAAGCCGCTTATCCTCAGGGAAGCGGCTCCATATGGTCCTGAAAATTTAAAAAAGCATTCAGAAAACTTCCAAAATGAAAATTGAGGGAGAGAGAAAAGAACACTTGTTACAATACCATATAGCTTACCCTAAGTAACACTCAAATGATCCAGAGTCTAGCTTGTTTTTAGTTTAGATATCGAATTCCTGCTCTTAGCTCGTCTATTTGATCTGGCACGACATGGAATACTATCTAAAAAACATGGAGCAGTTAATTTAAAGCCCCGTAATTTTTGAGAATCCTGTTTACTTATCTTCTTTCCAGTTCCCTTCAAATACCCTACAACATGAATCCAACATGAACGATGTTTCGAAATTGGATACCCATTATACGCTGCCACAACATAATGATTAGGATCAAACTTCTATTTATCAGTCAGCTCTGCTTTTCAGTTCATAATAATAATCATAATAAGTAGCAGTGAAATGCTGGCAAGGTGTAATTTAAATTCTACAATACTGCCATATAAGTAAAGCAGAAGACCAATCAAATTACTTCATTCTCATTTCTTGCCATTCATTTTTTTTTTGAAGAATTGCGACAAATGCATGGTGGGGGCTCTGACAAAAAAGAAAGAAAGAAAGGGGAGATGCAGAATTACAATATAATTAATCTTAATAGAAAATTACATTTCATATTTTCATCGGAAAGTTGCATATTTGGTGCATAATTCTTCCAAATATAGCTTCATAATCACACACATCATTTGTTTTCAATATTCTCAAAACAAAAATCAAATTAAAAAAAAAACAACCAAACAGATCTCTAATTGATAAATCAATGAACAACAGAAACAAAGGAAAGGAAAGTGGGGTGGGGGGAGAATAGAAGAAGTAAAGAATGGAATACCAGGATCCGAAGAACCAATTTCGATCGGTATTGAAGCATCATCACCATGTTTTTTCTTTCCCATCGACCGATTGCTCTACCAAACACAACCGAAAAAAGAATACAACCTTTTAAAAAAGAGCCAGAGAGACTCTCATTTAACTATAAACACAGCCAAGCAGAAATCTACAAGTAAAGGCTTTCAAAATCACATTGGTAACACAGAGTTAATGAAAGTATAATAATTTATACTGGGACAGTATAGCAACAGAAAAAAGACCGGGTTATAAAACTCCATGCAGTAATAAAAAAAATTGGCATCATCACTCTCTGGTGTATATGGACTAACAGGAATCAATTTATATTCAGAGACACTGTTACTAATCCCAAAACTGTGAGGAATCTTTCAACTCATACTTCAAACATGGTATTTAAGCAGCCTCCAAAATAGTGGGCAAAAGGGGAGATTGGAAAGCTTAGTCGTGTAAGTACATCGTGGATAATTATAAAATCGTTTAACAACAGCTACAGATTGAATATGCCAGACCAATTAAGAGAAAGAACAACGAGTGGGAAGCGTAAGGCCGACCTGGGTGTGTCGATAACGACGTGTTCCAGTCGTCAGCTGCTGAATTGTGCCTCAATTGAAGAAGAAGAATGCGTTGAACGATTTTTCAATCAAACGCAACTGCTAAAAAGAAAAAAGTAGAAACTTTTAGAAACGGAGCAATAGAATCATATAACATGAACGAAAACAGAAAACAGAACAAACCCAGATTTCATATAAAACGAAGCCAAGCAGAAATCTACAAATTTTGGGGTTAAAAAGATTACCTTAATTAATTCACCAAGAATCCTTTGTTCAGTTTGTCGAAAAAGGCTATAGGCAAGGGAGGCGTGGGTCAGTCAGTGACTGGTGTGAGGGCAGATAAAAAAAACTATTTAAAATCGAAATTCATTTAAATTTAGGGTAAACTAACTATTTAGTACATTCAACTCTTTCGTTTTTCAAATTATGTACAGCATTTCGTTTTGTTTCTATTTTGATGTCTCACTCTCATCTTCAAATCTGACTATCATGAAAGTAAAAATATGATAGAATATAACAATAATTTTAATCTTTTAAATTTGTACATTCTATGATTTTTTTAAATAAATTGATAAATTTTAGTTATTATTCAATAAAAACAGTAAATATTCTAACCTAAAATTAAAGAGATTATCCCAAATAAAAGAGGCCCACTTGAAGCATCTTGATAGATTGGTAAAGGATATGATATGCGCGAGAATTAGAAGAAGGTGCTGAATGTTGAAAGAAAATAAATATAGTAGAGTATTTGTTAGGTATTAGCTAATCGAGGGAGATTATTCTAAATTGATAAGGCAAGATAGTTAAAATTTGAAATAAATAAATATTAATTATTATACTAGATATTCTTTTATATCAAAAAAATAATTACTTGGTATACGGTAGAATTTTGTTAATTATATTAAAAATAAAAATATTTAAATTACAATAAAGATTTATAATCACAATAATATAATAAACAAATAATAAATATATTTTCCTAAACATAAGAAAACTAATCACTTTAATAACCATAAGGAAAATGCTAAAAAATCTGACCAAAACGACTCGGATAAAAGGTAGGTACGAACAAATCTGACTACAATGGTAAATGAATCACAAAAGGGGTGAAACTATTGAAAGGTCACCGACAAATCGTAAATCAGAAATTAGCGACATGAAAATACTATCCACGAACGCAAATCACATATCCGAATCTGTTTCGATGGTCCAAAGCAGGGAAGATCATCACGATAACAAATAAAACGATATTTTGATCAGTCGAAATGATGTCAAATCAAACCATAAAAAAACATAAATGAAAATAACGTCCAAAACGACCGAAAACGTACATAAAGACAAAAGAATACATGTCACAAAAATAAAATTATTAAAAATAAGAAAAAATAAAGATACCTTATAATAAATAAATAAAAACAATGAATATCAACAATCGTCAATCAACATCAAGGTTGATGTTATCATCAATTAAAAAGATGATAAAAAAGGCTAACAACGGATAAAGAAAATGAGAGAAAAATAAGGTAAACCCTATAAGAGAATAGAACTTTTAATTATTATAGAAATGTATATGAAATTATTTATAGCTTTTATTATATAACATAATAGGTATAATTGTTTGAATATTATTTAAAAACAATCTTTCATATAATTTGTTATA